GATTTCTCTTGTAAAAGTAATAAAAACAACTTTGAACTGTAGATGAGAAGAAAAAGCTTTTAGAACTTGAATAGAAACAAACGCAAGATCGGCTCTGCCATTTCTCTCCATTGATCGTTAGGAACATGTGCACATAGGTTCAATATATAACTGCTCTCTACCTGATTCGTAAATATTGAACATCGTTTACCTCGCTTCATCTTCCTTCCTTCCTCCGACCCATGAGCACTTTTAGTGCAGACATTATCGAAGCCCATTGTCTTCGGCGTCGTAAAGCAATAAAACCATTATTACCGAAGAGGACGATGGTAAAGAGAAAGAGAGGATCAGTTGCGTTTGTTCTGGGGCCGAACGAACAAACCATCGGGTGGAAATCAATATTGGCTGATGGCGCCGAAGACCCCCAGCAAACGTCACCTCTCCGCATCCGCCGATGGCGCAACCAAAAATTCGTAATAGTTTTTATTATTTTAGCACCTCGGAGATACCATAAAAGGCTAAACAAACAGAGAGATAGTGCACCTTTCTTTTATCATCATCATCATCATCATCCTTTTTATTTTCCTCTAGTCTTTCTCCTCTTCCAACTTTGAGGCTCTGTTTGCTCGTTGCTTTATTATTATTATTACCTCGTTTCCTTTCGAAGGAAAGGATGTTCAATAATTATTAGTTCCTGTCAAAGCCCGTACCTAAAGGATAAATACCAAAAAAAAAAGAAATAAAGAAACAATCGCAGATCCGGCACGTCCTGACTTTTCGTTTATTCAGCATTTATTTGTACACACAGTTATTATTATTGTAACACCTAATAGAGGTGTTCGAGTGTCTTCGGATAAACAGATTTAGTCACCTCTTCGTTCCACACACAAAACACACGTCTTAATCCCGACGTAACGCCTTCGCCTTTGTTTTTCTCACGCAACCTTAAATACTTTAGAGAGAGAGAGAACGCGAAGTAATCTTGGGATTATCTTGGGCGGTTTCTCATCACCCGGTACTCTATAGATTTACGCGTGCCTGGGCCCTTCGGCATGATCGGAATTTCCCTTTGTTCGGCGCATGGAGGCGGCATCGTTCCGTCGATCTTGTACTTTGCCAGCAAATGTCTTAATTCCTCGTTCTGTCTTCTCAGACAAATCACCTTTTGATGAACCTTACTACGATCTGAAACAAACAAATTTTACAATTTACAAGTACAAAATAAATTATTTTAATTATAAACAGGACATTGCTTGGGGAAAAACAAGCAAACTTTCCTAAATGAAGTAATAATAAAATGATGATATTGTCTTTTTGGAATCATCTCAACGAAAACAAGAATCCCGGATATTTAAAGGTAAATACCAAAATAAAGGTAATTCACATAATTTGCCAATGTATAAGATACGGATCTTCAAGAGCTTCGGGAAAAGGTAATTCACCCAATATTTCGTCCGATCATCAAAACCGCAACATCCGCGCTCGGAAATTCGCGGATTAAGTCATGGGATTAAACTCACCGACAAGGATTTCGTGATACTTTTCCATGCCGTAGTAAAGGGCATCCCACAATTGGATCTTATCGGATCCCAAAATGTTCTTGTAGCTGTTCCAATAAGCGCTCACATCCTGCGATGTCATCAGTCGCGAAATCGTAGGAGTTTTCTTCGCGATATCCGGAACTTCCATGGATTTTTCCCTGAAATTATAAATTGACCACATGACTGGTATCTCCATCTATTCGAGTAAGTCTAAACTGAAAGTTTGGTTGCCTATATCAACATCCAGTGTTGTATTCAGTAAGATTTTGTTAACACTCACTCTTCTCCCGAATTCGTGTTAGTGACGAACTCTCGTAACGCTTTTAAGACATGAGCTGGATCCATCACCAATTGATGGTTATACATGCAAGTGGTTGAGGCCGTTTGGATGTTACCATACTGCATGTACTCTATAGTTTGAATCTTCTTCTCCTGTTCTTCGAGCATGGGATTAGGACCCAGACACTCTCCGGTATGTTGTATATACTCAGGTTTTTCTTCATCCAATCTAGTGGAAGTAACAATATCTGCCAAGATATCATCAACGGTGTCATCCGTTTCTTTGACACCCAATAAAGGATTATTATCTTCGTCCTGCTGCTCCATGAGACTCTCTTGGAAAGTGGACACAGATTTGTCTGTCATATAAGTGTCTACGGATAAATCGGAACCCCGATTTGCATTGATACAGATGGGACACTTGACGTACGGCATGAAGTAATGCATCATGATATTAATGTCGGCTTTATCGGATAATTGCAATGCCTGCGAATTACCACAAACATTTTTAATTTATCAACAAAATTTAAAACAAAAACTTACAGCAAACAAATTATCAACTCTGAGCATAACATCCTCCTCTTTAACCCTTTCCGCCAATATTGCGTTCAATCTACTTTCGATAATGAAATTAGAGCGATCGGAAATCCTGTCAAGGACATTATTCAAAGTCCGTTTATAAGCCAAAGTATTTTCCAAATCCGGATTGCTAAGATGCATTGACATATTCGATGGTTTCGGTGCGATCGACCCTGCAACATAACGACACGTGTAGTCTTTCAGTTAAAACTAATTCAATTATTAATACCTTTAACAGCGCGCATCATATTCGTGGCATTCACGTAGCTAACTAAATCTTGCATCTTCTTAGGTTGCGTATAAGGTTCTTCCCACTTCAATCCCAACTGTTGCTCATGCAGCAACTTATCTATAGTCAGCAACTTGTTCAAGATTTTCGAAGCCATCTTCCTATTCAACTCCCAAACGGACATGTATTTCTTTTCATTGCTACTCGACATACCTTCCGATTTCACTTTGACACCTTGTATGCACTTCTGCAATTTGAAAATCTCATTGAACAACTTATCCATTTCATTTTTCGAGTTTATCTCGTAATTGTCGATTTTATCTCTCTGGTGATTGATGACATCCTGCAACTTATTCAGCTTCCTCTTCTGCTCCGATTTGATAATGATATTCTCATCCTCACGCTTCTTCAAAATCTGATAATTATAATCCATTTTCTCTTGATTTGCCATGGCTATAGCTTTGATGGCTTCAAATTCCTGCTGAAGAATCTCGCAGTTTCTCTCCAACCGGATCTTCACACCTCTGACCCGTTCGTAATGCTTGATTCTCACAATGGTGACAACCTCCTCGAACTCGTCTTTCTGACGAAACTTATTCTCACTTATAGCCAACTCCTGTTCCTCTCTCTTCTTGTACAACTCTTCCCAACGTTTATTATTGTTCTCCATGATATTACTCCTTTCTTGGATCATAACGTCCAGGATATCCTGCAACTCGTTACTATGCGCCACTCTCATGATAGCCACCTATGAAAATACACAAATTATACTCTAAATAAATTTAAAATTAATCTGAAACAAACCTGTTTCTCAACGCGCTTAGCCAATGTACTGACTTCATCGTTCTGCATCTTTTGGTCTTTATAGAATTTATGTTCGGCACGTTTCACTTCGTTTCTGAGCATTGTGATGGTCGTGTCCTTCTGCTTGATCAATTCATTGCATTTATCCTGTTGAAATTTGATCTCGTCGTGGATATTCAAAGGATCGTTGTAGTTCATGATGTTTGCCCATTTTGTCGCTATTAAATCGAACATCTCTATTGCCAAATTCGCTTCCTCTTCCAGTTGAGCCATGACTTGCTCACGGATGATAGCTTCACCTTCACGACTATCCACCTCTCGAGCATCATTAGCTACTCGCACGTTGGTTACTTGTTGTTCCACCTCTAAGAAAAGTTGCTTCAAGATTTCACTACTTTTCTCTAATTGGATCTGGAGTAGAGTTGGCTTCTCCGGTTGCTTCTCTTCTACAGCTTCCATAGCCAACATTTGTTGTCTAAAGAAAATAACAACAAGATATAAACAAAATACAATAAATTTCCAAAATCGTCATCATCGGCATTATACAATACACAAAATACAACTAAAACTTTCTAAACAAAAGGACATGACCAATAATCAAAAGGATCATAGTTTATTAATAATTATATCAATATTAAAACATTCTTATTGATTTCTAAGATTTGAAAGTTTCTCTAAGATTACCATACTGTTATTTTTAAAGTTTTTTATATGGCCCATTAGCTCAGTTGGTTAGAGCGTCGTGCTAATAACGCGAAGGTCGCGGGTTCGATCCCCTCATGGGCCAACCAATCTTTTGTAAAAAAATAAATAAATTATGCTATTATATAATTAAACGTTTATGTTTATTATTTTATAAATATAATTTAATTAATATTATTAACTCCTAAAAAATATAATAATTATCACTAATAACAAATATTGTACAACAGATTTATAAGATGCTTTTTTTTTGCCCTATTTCTACCCCTTTTGGGTTCATTTTCATGATACAGGTGACCCTAGTTAAACTGTTTTTAAACCAACATAAATTTCATAAAAAAAATCAATATTTTTGAAACACCTTGTATATTTATGGTCTTGTATATTCTGTTGCATAACAAAATCAAACTATACTTCTTGTATGTAACTACTGAACGTTAGGTGGCGCCAACAAATATAAGAAACTGTCACAAGCCCGACAACCGAAATACCGTCTATCAAATTCCCGACGTTCGAAATCCCGACCTTTGAAATGCCGACTGTATCGAAATTCCGAGTGTATCGAAATCTCGACAACCATAATCCCGACTATATCAAAATCCCGACTATATTAAAATCCCGACAACCATAATCCCGACTATATCAAAAATGTGTAGACATTTAAAAATGTTATTGTAAAAGTTTTGGATATAGTCAGGATTTTGATATAGTCGGGATTATGTTTGTCAGGATTATGGTTGTCAAGATTTTGATATAGTCGGGATTTCAATAGACGGTCTTTCGGTTGTCGGGCTTGCAATATAGACACAGAAACTGTAGTTTCTTATAAACATTAATTAAAATATTTCATGGAGTATTAAATATTAATAATATTCCTGAAAAATGTAGTAAATCCAATGAAAAACTATACCTAATCATATTCATAAACTATTGTACGTTTCATAATACTAAATCATTATTTTTTTTTAATTATTTTAACTCTTGATCTTAATAAAATTCAACATTGGATATAACTATAATTCTTACTTTTCTTTAGCTTCCAACCGTCTCTTGATCCTAATCCTCCTTGCACACTTTCTCTCCTCTGGGTCTTTGGATGCTATGTCCGGAACATTGAGTTCAGCGAACTGGAGCATCTCATCATCTCCACCTGGGATGTCTAGATCCATGATTAATTTACGTTTATTAAAAGTCTCTTAATAAAAATTATATAATAAAAAAGAACTGAAATAAAGTCACTGCAAATGTCAAAACTAAAGAGACACAACAAGCAAATAAATAGATGTAATTGCTTAGCAACCAATAATAAATGTCTACTGTTACATCAATAAAAGTAACAATTATATAATTATCATGAAATATCATTGATAAATTTGTTAATTTTCCTGAAAAATCTAATACGAAAACAAAAATTTTGTATTTATTTAACAATATTTGTTTCTTATTAATAATTTATTGTAAGAAAACGTTAAATTGCAGAAATCCTAATATAGACTCGTTGGAAAGACCATAATTTTATATTTTATATATTAATTTGCATCCTAGATGATCTAATTTGAGTTTGTAGTAATCGAGAAATTAAATGAAACTTGAAGACGTGAAAATAAATCAAAATATCATTAAATCTCAGTAATTAATTTATATTATAATTAATATTCAATAGATTTAGATATAATCATCATATATGAAAAAAATAGCTTTTATATAAACTTGTTTTCAACAAAAAAATATTTTTTTTATTATTATATAAATTATTAGGAAATATTTAATAATTATCAAGATATTAAGATTTTTGGTTATTTATTAATACAATAATTTGTGTGTATTGATGAGTTTTTAAGTAAATTAGTATTTTTCTATTATTTAAAAGTAGTTCTAATGTTCCAACTATACTTAAGTTGTACTATACTTAAATTCTTATTAAAACCAATTATAACTGCAAATATTAGTTCTAATTGTAATTACGACTAAAAATAGTGATTAAGTTTGTATAATAATGTAAATTTATATAATAAACATGTGTGTTTTGTATAGGAATTATGCAATCGCCGACAGGGAGTTTTCGTTAACTCCGGTTGGTAACACTTGGTAAATTGTTTGGCTGCGTTACCGACATTACCGACTCGCCAGTTTTGAGTTCTTCTTGTAAAAATCATGGCGGTGAGTGTTTGGCAATTTGGTTATCCCGTATAGAAATCGTGAAACATCAGTGTTTAGGGCCGAAAAAATACAACAGATTCCTGCGAAATGTAACCGTAAATATGTAAAGTTTGTAATTCCGACGATATTTTTCCTTTTAATCTGAATCCAATAAGTTAAAAACTTTCGTCACACGTTTGTTGTTTTTCTTCGGAGTGAATACAATGGAAAGTCAATTTTTCGGCCCTACAACACTTATGAGACTCGATTTCCATGCGATTTATTGTAATAATATAAATATAATTATGGTAGAATCGTCAGGAAACAGGTAAAAAGTGGTTTTGTTTTGGTTCTGCTGAAACATAACCTTAATTATGGTTTGTTGCCATACGATTCTATATATGACAAAATAAAGCAACTGGCATTTACAGTTAAGCCTTAATCAGATGGCTTGATTGTAATACAAACTATAGTTTGTAGTTGCAAAAGTGATCACCTTCCATTGCAACTCTCATCTACGCTCTGTACTAGATGTGTTACTTAGTGAAGGTTACATTTGATCCAAACTTATCTGATTGTTTGGACTTGCAGATTTTGGATTGTTTTACTAATGGGTATTGTTATTTTTTAGCCGGTAGCACCAAAGAAAGCTGCTCCCAAGGGAAAGAAAGTTGTAGATAAGAGCAAAAATATTATGCGTGATCTCCACATCCGCAAGCTTTGCTTGAACATTTGCGTTGGAGAATCTGGTGATAGGCTTACCAGGGCTGCTAAAGTAAGTTTACACTTATTTATTACTTTTTACTAAGTAAATAAGAATACAGTTTGTTTCAACAAATAAAACTCAATTTAGTAAAATTAATTTTTTAATATTAAATGTATTTGTTGATATGCAACTGGCATTTACTAGCTATGTCTTCTATGACTTGTTTGTAATAGAATACTTATATAGTTGCAATAGTAATTACCTTCCATTGCAACTCTCATCTACTCTTTGTACTAGATGTGTTACTTAGTGAAGATTACATTTTGATCAATTAAAAGATTTTAATCAAAGTTTTCTTTAAGACGCCAATACTTTATGAATTGTTATTAATTGAGTATATTTGTTTGTAGGTATTGGAACAATTGACTAGCCAACAACCCGTCTTCTCCAAGGCTCGTTACACTGTCCGTTCTTTCGGAATCCGTCGTAATGAAAAGATTGCTGTCCATTGCACAGTGCGCGGCGCCAAGGCTGAGGAGATCCTCGAGAGGGGTCTTAAGGTCAGGGAATACGAATTGAGGAGGGACAACTTCTCGGCTTCCGGCAACTTCGGTTTCGGTATCCAGGAACACATTGACTTGGGTATCAAGTACGATCCCAGCATTGGTATCTATGGTTTGGACTTCTACGTCGTATTGGGCAGGCCCGGTTTCAACGTCGCCCACAGGCGCAGCAAGCAAGGCAAAGTTGGCTTCCAACATCGCCTGACCAAGGAAGATGCCATGAAGTGGTTCCAACAGAAATACGATGGTATCATCCTCTCCAGTAAAAAGTAAATAAACGAACGTAGAACCTCTCATTTTACGTTTAAGCCAATAAATTTATATTACACAATATAATAATCATGATTTCTTTTCCAACTTTCCTTACCGATCCACAACAAACAAAACATCACTCTACACCTACTTAAAACTTTCTGATTATTTTTATTATGTTTTGTAATATCGATTCCTGAAATTTGGAATTGATTAATTTTATTGCTTTATTCGAAATTTGGGTTTTTCTTCTTTTTTATTTAAACGTGTTTCTAATCTCCTAATTTTTCTAGGCATTGAGTGGATGTTGTCTTCAAGAAGATATGAAGAACAATTTCCATGTTTCATTTATTTGAATTTATCTATTACTACAATAAAACAACTTTGGATAAATTTACCATACTTTTATCATTTTGTGATATGAAGTACTTTATATGTTTAAACTATGAACTACATCTATCTACCCAGCCACCTTGATATTTTGAAGATAAGTACAAAAAAATGCAATCTCCAACTTACACAAAATCCAAACATTTATGTTTGCGAATTATGTATTTACGAGATTTTGTAACTTGTTTTATTTCTAATTCTATTGACGAATTTAATAAAACACCAAAGAGTTTACATAACTAGTTTTAATTAAATTGCGTAACAACAATTATTACAATGTAAATTCATTGTTTCGTATACAATTCAATAGTTTAAAAAATGACACTTTTGATATCAGCGTTTCTCAACCTTTTAGTCAAACGACAAAGTATATTTGTTTGTAGTTATATATCTAAGAGTAATTTACCAGTACCTCGCGGTAACAGCTGTCATTTTGCTACTCGTAGGTTGAGAAACTTGGCTTAACATCTACATTTTATAACAATATACTTTGTCCAAGAATCACTTTTGAAGATTTTTTTTTAAAGTCATCGATTTCCATCGTTTATGTTGATTCTGAAACAAAATTTTAATTTTTTATACAAAGTGTATGAGATTCATGAAGTCTATGAAACAAAATTTGAAATACAGTGGAATTTCGCTTAACGAGTTTAATCTTTTCCGTTTTTTTACTCGTAACATTCAAAATTACACATGTGTACACAAGTTTTAAAAATGATGAAGAAGGCGCGCAATCCGGGACTTCACTTCTCATCGTCATTTGTTATGCGAAACGTAGCTCGTTAAGCGAGTTATTTTGCTCGTTATGCGATCACCTTTAAGCGAGGTTCCACTGTATTTATATTCAATTATATAACCAGCCACCTTGATATTTTGAAGATAAGTACAAAAAAAATTGCAATCCAATTTACACAAAATCCAAACATTTATGTTTTCGGATTATGTTGTTACGAGATTTTGTAACTTGTTTTATTTCTAATTCTAATGACGAATTTAATAAAACACGAAAGAGTTTACATAACTAGTTTTAATTAAATTGTGTAACAACAATTATTACAATTTAAATTCATTTTTTCGTATACAATTCAATAGTTTAAAAATGACACTTTTGATATCAGCGTTTCTCAACCTTTTAGTCATACGACAAAGTATATTTGTTTGTGGTTGTATATCTAAGAGTAATTTACCAGTACCTTGCGCAACCTTGCGGTGGCAGCTGTCATTTTGTTACTCGTAGGTTGAGAAACTTCGCTTAACATCTACATTTTTTAACAATATACTTTGTTCAAGACTCACTTTTGAATATTTTTTTTGAAAGTCGTCGATTTCCATCGTATTTGGTTAATGTTGATCCTGGAACAAAATTTTAATTTGTTATACAATGTGTATGAGATTCATGAAGTCTATGAAACAAAATTTGAAATACAGTGGAACCTTGCTTAACGAGTTTAATCCGTTCCGAAATTTCCGAATTTTTACTCGTAACATTCAAAATTACACATGTGTACACAAGTTTTAAAAATCGTCATCTCGTTATGCAAAACGTCGCTCGTTAAGCGAGTTATTTTGCTCGTTATGCGATCACCTTTAAGCGAGGTTCCACTGTATTTATATTCAATTATATAACCAGCCACTTTGATATTTTGAAGATAAGTACAAAAAATGCAATCTCCAATTTACACAAAATCCAAACATTTATGTTTGTAACTTGTTTTATTTCTAATTCTAATGACGAATTCAATAAAACACAAAAGAGTTTACATAACTAGTTTTAATTAAATTATGTAATAACATTTATTACAATGTAAATTCATTGTTTCGTATACAATTTAATAGTTTAAAAATGACACTTTTGATATCAGCGTTTCTCAACCTTTTACTCATGCGACAAAGTATATTTGTTTGCGGTGACAGCTGTCATTTTGCTACTCATAGGTTGAGAAACTTTGCTAAAAATTAATGATATCTACATTTTTAACAATATTATATAAACAATATACTTTGTCCAAGAATCACTTTTGAAGATTTTTTTGAAAGTCGTAGATTTCCATCGTATTTGGTTAATGTTGATCCTGAAACAAAATTTTAATTTGTTATACAAAGTGATTCATTAAGTCTATGAAACAAAATTTGAAACCACAACGAGTTAACGAAATTTCCGGATTTTTACTCGTAACATTCAAAATTGCACGTGTACACAAGTTTTTAAAATGATGAAGCAGGCGCGCAATTCGGGACTTCTCTTCACATCATCACTCGTTATGTGAAACGTTGCTCGTTATGCGAGGTTCCACTGTAATTATATTCAATTATATAATTTGTTGCATTGTTTGTTATTTTGTAACAATGACTATGAATAAGATAAACTGAATATGAAATAAACTATCTAAATATAAGTCTTGTTAATGAAGTATCAATGCAAGTGATTACCAAAATAGAATTGATATTAATTAATGACTTAATTAAATTGTATTAGGATGCAACACAAGAATGCAGTACCAAAAACGAAAAAAAATACAAAATGCGCATTAACAATTTAAATGAGTACACGAATGATGCATTATTTATAGTGTGCATCTATCTGTGTTATTAAGGCTTCGAGCAGGAAGGAAATCCGCGAAATATAAAGGCAACAGGAAACAGTTTGCATTTTGATTTATTTCCGAAACATACGTTTCCTCGAATTTTTATTCAACAACACCATACAAATTAAATAATAAAAGAAAATCTTATATCTCGAAATGTTTATACATACACTTATTATATAGACAATATTGGAACGGAAATTTATTTATATTTATCGATACACAAAAAAAATAAACGTAAAATTATATAAATAAAAAATTAATAAAACTTAGGTTTTAGGGTGCACTTAATATCAGGCTTATTATTTATGGTTTCGTTTCATTCCACTTCGTATTGCACAAACCGACCCAAACAAAAATATGGAAATAAACACATAAGAAATAAATATTTAATACACGGTTATTATACACATATATATATATATAAAATTAATAATCTCTAATCACAATAATATAGACATTCAATGGTTATTAGAATAAGCTAACTTAGGTAATCGAAAAAATTACATTAATTTATATTAATCGGAAAATCAATGAATCAATCATCGTTTCCGCACTAATTGCTAAACTTTAAATAATAACGAAACGAAACTAATAAAAATGATAACAGTACACATTCATATTTATAGGTAGGAAATATCTCAGCGCTTTATGTTATATATATATAAAAATAAGTATTAGAACGCACTTAATAGGATGCACTGAATTACGTGCGTTGCTATTAAGTGTGTTTAACCGAATTAAACGTACAAAAATTTGCTCTAAATATCCATATACAGTATATAGTTTGCTTTGGCAGAAACGCAACAGACTTGGACAGAATACAAAGAAAGGCCCTTCATCACAACCAGTTTCATAGAAACCACTTTTCCATCATCATCATCATCATCCTTGAACCAAGTAATAAGAATAATCTAGGTAGTCCGGGCTTTCTCGATATTTTGAACCTCTTTGGGCGTGAATCCAAGTATGCTCTGGATGGCCCTGAGGTGACCCTGGTTGTTCTCCTTATCAGTCAGAAAGTAGTAGATAGCCGATTTCAAGAACTGAAGCGTAATCTCCGGATCCACCTTCTTGTTCTTCGCCTCCAAAATTTGCTTGTACATCGCCTAAAAATCGAACGCTATTCAATACTTTCCCAAATAACCATAATTTAATTAAGAATAAAATAGTACTAATAAATGAAAACTACTGGAAGAAGAAGAAAAATAGTATAGCTTAAGCGTATATAAAATAACCAAATGATTTGGCTGAAGCTGAAGCATTTTTACTTTAACGTATTTTTTTTTGTACTGTACAAAGTGAAGCTACATATTTCAAGTTTCATGCACTACTAATAATTCCATTTTTTTTTTCTGTGTGTCTACTTTTAATTACCTTTCTGGCACCTAAAACCCACAAAGTAACAGCTTCTTTCGCACTTAGCAAAGGCTTTAAACTGTTAGATGTTGAAGCATATTCTATGTCCTAGAAATTAGTAAGTTCATTATCAAAACAGTGGAAACAGACGAAATATACAAAAGATACAAACACAACAAGATTCGACGAATACACAACGCACATAAAGAAAACGAGTTTCATACGAAAGGAAGTGTGTTTTTCACGATATTTCGTGACCGATTCGATCTAAATTGTCATGGATTTGCTAATGGTTGAAGTGATGTATTTTTTTTTGGTGATGTACTAACCTTGATGTTCTCCAATTCGGTTTGGGTGACCTGGAGCTGTTGGAGCAATTCGGGAACGGAGATGCGCGTCGGCATCTGCTGGGCTAATTCCATGACCTGTTGCTCGCGCTCTACCTTCGCCGCCTCTTGTCCTTGCGCGTACATCTGCAAGTACACCTGCTTGTGTTTATCGTCTTGCTCCTCGAGCTTCCTCAAGGCGTCTTCCAGCTGAGATTCTAACTCTTTGATACGGTCCTTTGCGTTATCCAAGTCGGGCACGAGATCCCAATACCTCTTGTTGATCTCGGCGATCCGCTGCAGCAGCTCCTCCACCTTATCGTTATGCTTCTGACGCTGATCCTGACTCTCGTTCTCGTGCGACTTCACCAGCTCCTGAATCCTCTTCTCGTATTCGGCCATGAGCTCTTCGTATTGAAGATCGTCGGTGGAAACGCATCTGTCCACCGTCTCCGGTCGTCCCCTTTTGAACGGCGAATGCGCGAAATTTTCGGAGAGCAGTTCTGAGTCTTTGGAATGTATGGAGGAGTTCGTGTAATCGTCGTAGTGTCCTGAGTCCGTGTATGAGCCGGTCATGATTTCATTGGTGGCGTTGAGAGGGATGGCTAGATCGTCGTCAAGCTGATTTTCCCGGACTGTGACCGCGTCGGAGGAGTTGGAGCGTTCTTCGGGAGAGCTGAGAGCAGCTTTGCACAAACGAAGTTCGACCACTTCTTTAGTCAACTTGATAATATCGCTGTCCTTCTGGTCCAAATCCTTGTGGGCTTGGTGGAGGAGGCTCTTCAAGCGCCGCACCTGCCTCTGGGCCCTTTGAGTAGGTGTCAGGTAATCCTCCCCGGCCACCCCAGCGTGGTGACTACAGTGGAAAACATATCTAAAAGCGAAGAATTAAGTGATAAATATACAAAAACTAAACTGAATTTCGTTAGTTACTTCATGGTTTTTCCAGAGAACGTTGTCCCGTTCCTGGCGACGCTTGCGTGATCGCATGAGGACGCCAGGCTTAGGCCGCTTATTCCGCTGGTGATGCTGTCCGAGTCCCAGTCCGCCGACTGGCACTTGCTGCTTCTGTAGTCCAGCGGAGACGTGGGCGGCGTCCTCGGAGAGGATGTCCCGGTGGGCGAGGATAGCCTGGTCGTGCTGCTCAAGGATAACGACTGAAACATCCCGAACACCCAATATTATTAACTTTCCTGCGATTTCCTTTCCCCACTCGCAGATGCATTCGGTTACGTAATAATGCAATCGTAATAATAATGATGTCGATGGACGACGGCGAGGAGGAGGAAAAAGAGTAAATAGAAAAAAAAAATATATATATTCCACGGTCCAATATACCCATGCAACGGAGGGGGACGACTCTTCGCCACGTACCGATGATTGCGGTTCCGTTCGTGATCACGTCCTCTCTCTACAATTTCTTACATGCTATGCGGAAAATTACATAACGCAACCGACCTAATCACAGCGTTTCCCCCTAGTAAAAAAAACATATTGTTTTCGACATCCAGTTTAGTTTTTCGGACTTCCTCTAATTTCGACAGCTAAAACCTTTCAACTAAATCCTTATTAACACATTGTGTTAAGCGAAATTTCGAACTAATTAAAAGGATGTTGTACTCTTTCACCTTCAACTCTTTTATTAGACGCGCGAAGTAGTCTTAATTAGTTTTTAACGGCGCGAAAGAGTCCTATTTCTGAGGAAGAGTAAAAATAGTCGCATCCCGATTTCCGGCTCTCGGATGTTTGTGTGTATCTCCACGGCTCGCGATGGACAGCAGAAATAAATCCCATCGGGAGGAACATAAACACGATGCCGCTAGTATAAGCTCTTCTCGTCCGAGAATATAACGAAAATTAAAGTCCAAAGTTTATTTGTAAACGTGCCGCCGCCTCTCACTTTCATTTCTTTCCTTCTATTTTCGTTTCCTCAAACGAAGCAAATAAGTAAAGCACTTCCTATTTATTACCGATATATTTTATATGAAAAGTAAAGTAAACATTTCATCTATTTATATAACCAATTTGAAAACTAACTACAACAACTACAGGAAACAAATTCTTATAAAACTATTAATTTACATTTTAATTATTTCTTTGTTCTCTTCATATACTTAAATAAGTTGTTTATTTTTTCAAAATAATCGTTGTCTCCATGACTAAATAAAGAATTACTATAGTAACAAGACTTAACATACCAATTAACTAAAACAAACGATTTAAATTGATTTTAAATTAGAAGAAAACTAAATAAAAATTGAACAAACAAAATATTTTTCATTTATATTAAAAACTTTATCATCAATATGAAAATTAAATCTGCAAATAAATAACTTCATCAAATCCATGAATAATTTACAAAAAAAACGTAAAAAATACTGTCAAAAAATCCTTGAATTGAACACACTCTAATAAATTAGTACAACGAATTACTCAAACACGTTAATCTATATCTTTCTTCTCCGCCAACAAATCCTATTTAGCATCCGATTTCCGAGGGTATTAACTACGCTCGAATCGATACGCGAAATAATTCACCGCAATTGGGTCAAGCCTACATACATTTTTTTTTAACCCTAACTATAAATTTCAATGAGCATTCGTGGAATTCATAGTCGAGTTCAAAACGGAACCAATTCATGGTTACAAGGTCATAGCTTCTTTTTCCACGCATTCTTGAAAACATATTAAAAAAAAAAGCGCAGAATGTAATTAGAATTCCTTCGGAATCGCACGCCTCGAGAATAGAATTTTGAATAACTTGCACAAGCAGAAAAGTCGAAACTTTCCTGTTATAAAATTCAAAGTGCATTTGCCCATTTCATTATTGTTTCTAAACACATTCTGAGAACAAATAAAAACAGAAACACATTCCTCATATGTAATTATTATCAAGAATGTTACGTTTTTAAATAAAACCAAATCAATTCTTTAATTTGTACTCAGCTAGTGAATTTAAGAAAGTAATACATATTTTACATCGCTTAGTACGGTTTCGATCTGTCCGGATTCAATATAGTCCAGTTTGAAAATTTCAAAACTAACTAAATTTTAGAAATGATCGTTTTCTTTCTCTTTATACAATCAAGTCTCCTTTTGTGTAATTTATTTGCATGACATATGTAAATAGCTGTAATTTATTAAATGACTAATTAAAAAAATATCAATGTAAAAAGTTGTTCAACTTGAAATTCATTTGAAATATAAATTTAGAAAGTTTTTTTTTTACTTTTGTTATTGTTTTGTCTGTTTACTAAATTTGATTGCAAGTGTACCAACTTAAAGAACTAAATTCAACTTCAAATACTTGGCGGAATTCTTAGATTCTCAGATGTTGCTTGGAAATGTGTATTCTGTATATACTTTTAGTTAAATACAAACAATTGGTAACTAAAATGTTGCCTGTCAAATGGTAATTGGATTATTCTTTTGCTCGTGGCATGTTATCGGCTCCTGCGGTGCATGCGATAACGCCAAAAGTTAATTAATTTACAAGCAACCAATTAACCCGAAGAGAGTTTTTATAGAAATGCGCAAAGAGAAATCGATCGGAGCAATTAGAACTGAACGCTAATGAAATCATTTCAATTAACCCGACTGACTGATATGTTACGAAACGAGCGTTAAGTGTAATTAATCACCGATTATGTGAGCAAATGCAGTTTTCAGGTATAAACCGATTCTAAGCAAATGTTTTAGAAACTAATGATGAAATGAGCAAAGCCTATTATCACAGGAACTAATTGTGTCACAACCTTGTCCTAGTTAGTGACAAATTTGATTAAAACTTACAGAGATTCTATGGGAACGTTTCTTCAACTTCAAATGTTATTCTTTACTTTTATAATTACAGCGTTTCCCAACCCAATATATTTGTTTTTAATTGTACTTGCTAAAAGTTTTTTTACCAATTCCTCGCTTTGACACAAGGTGACAGCTGTCATTACGCATTCCAATTTTGTCTTACAAGTCAAAACAAACTTTAATAATTTTCATGTCTTTATCTTAATAATTCTTAGCAAAGATTTTATGTAGAAACTTACATCATTTTTAAATCGCAAACTACAGTAAATAATTCACTTATAATGTATAAACTTTAAGTTGACACAAAATGACAACTGTCATTACGCAACCCAATTTTTGTCTTACAAGACAAAACAAACTTTAATAATTTGTATGTCTTTATCTTAACGATTCTTAGCTAAGATTTTATGTAGAAACTTAAAACATTTTTTTTAAATCACTTTTCAAACTACAGCAAATTGTAAATTTACAAAGTATTCTTGTATAAAGTTTAACATAATAATTGCAAATTACGCGATGTTGGAAATTGATGTTTTTTCACCAGCTCCTCGCTTTGACACAAGGTGACAACTGTCAATTACACGACCCAATAATGTCTTAAGGCAACAACAAACTTTAATAATTTCATGTCTTTTCTTAATAATTCTTAGAAAAGTTTTTAATAAGAAACTTAGATCATTTTTTAAATCGCTTTTCAAACTACAGCAAATAATAAACTTACAAAGTATTCTTTTATAAAGTTAAACATAATATTTGCAAATTACGCGATGGAGGAAATTGATGTTTTTTCACCAGTTCCTAGCTTTGACACAAGGTGACAGCTGTCAATTATACGACTCAATAATGTCTTAAGATAAAAACCAACTTTAATCTTTTTCATATATTTATCTTAATAATTAAAAAAAAAAGTTTTTAATAAGAAACTTAGATTTTTTTTTAAATCGCTGTTCAAACTACAGCAAATAATCAAAGTATTCTTGTATAAAGTTTAACATAATAATTGCAAATTATGAGATGGAGGAAATTGATGTTTTTTCACCAGTTCCTCGCTTTGACACAAGGTGACAGCTGTCAATTACACGACCCAATAATGTCTTAATACAAAAACCAACTTTAATCTTTTTCATGTATTTATCTTAATAATTCAAAAAAAAAGTTTTTAATAAGAAAGTTAGATATTTTTTTTTAAATCGCTGTTCAAACTACAGCAAATAATCAAAGTACTCTTGTATAAAGTTTAACATAATAACTGCAAATTACGCGATGGAGGAAACTGATGTTTTTATACTAGTTCATAGCTTTGACAGAATGTGACAGCTGTCATTACGCAACCCAATTTTGTCTTACAAGACAAAACAAACTTGAATAAATTTCATGTCTACTTTATAATTCTTATCAAAGATTTTATGAAGAAACTTACATCATTTTTTTAAATCACTTTTCAAACTACAGCAAATAATCAACTTACAAAGTATTCTTGTATAAAGTTTAACATAATAATTGCAAATTACGCGATGGAGGAAATTGATGTATTTAATGTTTATCCTATTATCATCGTCCATGATTGAGATATTAAATGGTTCGGTTGCATTTTACGTCGTTCCAATCACAGTATGAATGTGAATAACACTATAATGGCGTAATGCAGAGGGATTCTTTTCTTTTGGTGCCGTTAAATGCAAATCGAATTCAAAGGTTTTACCAGAAGCGGCGATAATGATAATGCATGCAGATTACACGGTTTTCGATTAATTATCTTAAGAACTACTACATCTACACTCGCCGTTTCAATTTTCTATTTTGCATTTGAAAAACGAACGGAAATTATAAATTAAATGCACGTGAATACTTAATTCTCTATAAATAACCGAACTATAAACTCCACAAGTATTCATAATTTAAGTGAATATCTAATCGCTGATAATTATCTATACATTTCTAACGAGTTTGGATTAAATTACTGAAAATTAGCAAAAACATTCTAAAACTTAAGAGAAAGTCAATGTGTACAAAAAAAAAAACAAATCAAGGTAAACGATTTTCAAGCTCTTTTTATAGATTAAAATGCAATTTTACGATTGTCTTTGGAAACCTGCCAAAACAACATCTTGCCAACTCGTTACAAAGAAGCAGATTGAAACTGAGACTTCGCCAAACTTTTTCTGTTTTATATACCAAACCAATACTTTTGTCCTACTTCGTTTACAAACATTCGTATATTATAATTTCAACATACATATTATCATATTACATTTTCAAATTAATTCAATATGAATGCATTTATTATAAGCAATTTATTAACGAAAATTGTCTATTTTTTTTTATAATCATGTTTGCTTTCAATTTATTGGTATTTGAGAACTACAAAATATGTGGGATTTCTCAATCCACGAATATCATTATAATATTTATTAATTTCCAACAACGAAGAAAAAAAAATCGTCACAGATTAAAAACCAAGGTTACTTAACGACAACTTTCTTCGTGTTATTTTTATTAAATGAAATCCTCGCAAATGCAATTACTTTGAAACGCAATGTTATTAATCTGAAGGACAAAACTTATTTAATTATTGATTAAACAATAATAATATGTTCTACTAAAAATAGAAATAATCTATTTGAACGAAACTAATATCAATGTGATAAAAACAATTGTAATATCAAACAATCTCTATCATATTTGCATATATAATATACAAATAATTACATAATTTCAAGGACAATTTTAATAAATAAGTTGTAACTTATTATTAAGTTAATGAAATATAGTTTTTTTTTTAAATTGTTTATAATTATATAAGCATCATCTATACTTTTCTTTCTGTTGTTTTTAATAATGAAAAAAACAACTGTCTGCAGGGTTTTTACTATTTCAATATTTTGTATTTTATAAAATTTATTTGTTTTTGTTATATAAACTTTCAAATTCTTGATTAGCTTTTATAGAGTTTTAAAATACTCTATATTTGCAATTATATAATTAGAAAAGATTGGTACAATTTTGGTATTCGATAAAGCTTGAAACCATTTACAAATTTGACGTATGCTTTTATATGAATATAGGGAAATAGGTAGAAAGTAAAATGGGGTCACACGTTTCTTTTCAAGCGAAATGTCATAGGTGAAAAAATACTTCTATTTTTAGATTCTATAGAAGTTCCAATATCCAATCAAAAATTTCCAATAACATACAAAAAAAAATGCTTTTTTATTGATGATAATTGTTTTGTTACTTATTAAAAATTCATATTTAATAAAAAGTGAATTGACAAAAATAATATTGACAATAATTGAATTGTTACTTTGAAAAATCACAAAAAAAAAATATGATTCAGTTTCAGATTTTCCGATCAGTTACGTATGTTTCTAACTAGTGATTGAATGAAATGTGAACATGTGATCAAATTACCATTGAAATATTGAGGATCTGTCAGATGACCATATGACATTTAATTTGAACGGGGAAATGTAATTTTTCGTTTTACAGTTTCCAGCATTTCAACAGCGCCACTAATTAAATGAATTACATAACATGTAAAGCACTTAAGTGTAATTGTAATGTACGGGTGGAATTGGACAAACAACTAATTATGAAACTCGCTGTTATTTACCATAGTTTGTGGAGGCGCTCCAAGAAAACGAAGTGGAGAGATCAATACACGGTCGCGTTTTAATCACCATAGTAAAATTGGGGTAACTGAACCTTAGCCCCGATTTTCCAACCCTGAAGGCGAGGGTGCTTCATTTTTTTTCTACTCCCATTGAAAATGTGTGTAGTTAATATTATGGGGTACTCACCAAATTGCGTGCGCGCCCCCCTAGTGTCGTGACACCCTCTGCGTTGGATCCTTTCCTCGAACTGCTGCTCGTCGGCGTCGAACTCTGGTGGTGTCTGCTGGTGCATGGGGGCCCTTTGGCCCCCTTAGCCCCGGTGCACCCGACGACCCCGTTGCAGGTACCACCGCGCTCGCCCCTCTCCATGAAGGATCTGCCCCTGCGCAGCGTCGTCCTGCGGCCAGGATCAAAGCCGGCGAGTCGCGAGTCCTGCAGCGACGCGCCGTCGCGGAAACTCGTCGAACGGCGCAGCGACATGGGCGGCGACAGCGGAACCGGAATTCGGGATTTGAAAGCAGGCGTTTCGAAGCTCACGTTCTTCATCTGAAAGTACCAAAAGGAATAAGCACATGGAAATGATAAATGGTGGTAACATCGTCGACAACAAAAGAACGTCACCTTATTGACGTTTCCATGGTTGCTTTGACTACCAGACCCAACGCAAACAAACATTGCACCACTTATAGAATCCAATAAGAACAGTTTAAAATGAAATAATCAAAACGTTTAAAATACTTCATTAAATCCCATTATTAACAAAACTACTAAATAATTGACAAACATAAATACGAAAGTTCAAATTCTTCAACTACAAACTAAAAACCAACGCGTTTTTTTGTACTTACAAACGTCAAAAATTATTTATCTGTGTTTTTGTTTTCCAAAGCAAATCTTGATTTTATTAATACTAAAAAAATAAACAAATTCTTTAAGTGTTCAATGTTGTTTACCAATATTTGTTTAAGACAGGAAGTATCAGATAAAATGTTAGTCAAGAAGAAAATCTTAATAGAATATTGAATGAATGAAGTGTGAATTTCACTGCATTTTAATTGATATACGTAGTTTTCATGTGTATTTACATAAATACTTGACAAGTATTGAAGCTTTTTATCCAAATTAAATCTCGTAACAATTTGATAATAAAATTCGTATCTTTTACTACAATTCAATATTTTTAATGTATATACGTAGTATTCATATGTATTTTACACATTTACTTGACAAGTATTGAAGCTTTACACACCCCTATTTTTTGGAATTTGTATTTTTTTAAATTTATTTGAAATAACTAAATCTTGTAATAATTTGTTAATAAAATTCATATCATTTGCTGCAATTCAATGTTTTTAATGTATATACGTAGTTTTCATGTATAGTTTACACATTTACTTGACAAGTATTGAAGCTTTACACACCCTTATTTTCTTTGGAACTTGCATATTTTTCAAATTTATTTGAAGTAACTAAATCCAAATTAAATCTTGTAACAATTTCATAATAAAATTCGTATCTTTTGCTGCAATTCAATATTTTTAATGTATATACGTAGTTTTCATGTGTAGTATACACATTTACTTGACCTTTGATTGAACCTTTACACACCCCTATTTTTTTTTTGAACTTGCATTTTGTTCAATCCAAATCCAAATTAAATCTGGTAATAATTTGTTAATTAAATTCGTATCTTTTTCTGTAGTTCAATGTTTTTTTTTATGTATATACGTAGTTTTCATGTATAGTTTACACATTTACTTGACAAGTATTGAAGCTTTACACATTCCTATTTTTTTTTGGAATTTGCATTTTTTTAAATTTATTTGAAGTAATTAAATAAAAATTAAATCTTGTAACAATTTGTTAATAAAATTTGTATCTTTTGCTGTAATTCACATTATCTAATTACAATTTACATAATGCATACTGCATTGGCAAGTATTGAAGCTTGGTAAGGTAAAAACAATTATAAAGTTCAACAACTCAAAACAATTATTTTTTTCATAATCATATTGTAATTAGTAAAACCAATTAAGTATTTCAACAACACAATTTTCCTCAATCATAATCACGTCGTTACATATTATACTGTGGAAACAACAAAGCGTTCACTCTTTTTTATATAAATTGTTTCGTTTTACTGTAAGTTTAAAAAAAAACTGTGTTTAAGGTACGTGAATTTGTGGGAAATAAAGTTCGTTTCATGGCAGTCCAATTACGTTCAGGGAATGGAATGAACAACAAAAACTAGTACGGTGCACTGCATTCAGCTTAATTTCCTGCAAAAGCGAGACGCTTTCTCGTTGGGAATAGAACGTGGACAGAGAGGGGTCCCCAGCAATAGTTATTTCCCGTTCCGCAAAACACTCTCATTCCGTCAATTAAAAAAAAAATAAACCAGGAAACTGGGCTTCTTCCGCCGTGAATAAAAAAAAGCGTTTAACAATCACACGACTCTCGTAATTGTAACAAAAAAAAAGAGAAGACGTTTAAAAGGTGATTTAAGAACTTAATGTTTAAAATCTAAAATTTACTTTAGTGGATTTACAAGACATTAAGCCTTAACAACGGAGCGGCGGATATATCCGCCATATCCTTTATACACCTCACTTATGCAAAATTATATACATGTTTATGAGGAGCTACTAGTCTCAACTTTTCAAGATGAAAACTTGGATTGAATAAAGTGGATAAATTTGTGGATAATTCAATTGTAAAGTAAACTTTGTTTGTTTGTTGAAGAAATCTAGTATGGATTGGCAAATAATGAAAGGAATTTGAAGCCCGAAGAAATAAACTTTACTCTTGAGGCAATTTTGTAGATCATCCAATTTATGTTAATGCATTTACATTAAAATGTAATTTCATGTAAATTCCAAAAATCTACGCGTGTTATCATCACAATTTTCTTCTCTATGATGATTATGATTATTCGTTACACTTTTCTTTATCCTCACTGCAGTATAAATATTGATCAGATGCATACGCCCTGGGGGTCTGCGGGCTCTGAACGCATTCCTTGCAGTTTTACCAACAGGAAGTGGACTCGAAAATGAGATATTTGCATTTGCAACAACAAAACTATATATAAAAAAAATGGAAAGAACTGTACTAGAAAGTATACATTAAACGAACGGAATATGTTTATCGATATTATTATGATTTCGATGCATCTCGTCTCAAGATGTAATATGTTCTTCATTCTCGAACCGGATTCGAAACGCCTGGCATTCCAAGGCGATAAAACACGGCTGAATCGTATTTCTTTTAATTATTTTGATTATCGCTCATTACAGATGCACGGGTTTACCTGCAATTAGCATTAAGCTGCGCATGCATCCGAGGAGATGTTTATGCAAACAGTTTTACGTTCACCGAATGTTCAACAAGCAACAATAATTGCAATTTCCTTACGAAAATCTTACCTTTCTCGTTGTTAAAATCGTATTTTTTTTTCTTAATTTTGAATACTTTTAGACATTATTATATAATTTGTATTTTTTATATAATTTTCTTCTTGTAAAAAGTTCATAATGACAATTATAATTAGTGCAGTACAGTATTTTAACCTATCGGTAGCGAAATGACAGCTGTCACCATATGTCAAAATGAGGAACTGGTATAAACAATTGGGTCGCAATAGGACTACAAATAAATATTTGGGGTTGAGAAATTTAGATTTCTTTTCTTCAATATTTTTCTAATTTGTTACGTTACATAAATTATAATATGACAGCCATTCAAATGTATTTTAACAAATGTCAAATCTTTTAAAAAGTTTATGAATGATCTAAGTTTTGGTTATTCGTCTTTACTGTCAATTTGTTATATTATCTCCATGTTTACAAAAATATTTCTATTCAGAAATTCCCATTTACTTGTACAAAAAAAACATGTCTTCTCATAAAATATCAAAAGACAACTGTTTCGCAATTATTTAATCAGTCGAATGAACGCGATTCTGATATCGTGTTATCAAAATAAATTGTAAAAACGATAACGACGATTTCATAATCTGACGTGTCTTCTTTTTTAGTAATTCTTAGATACGTGATTCCATTCAATTCCTTGGTTTACTTTCGTTGTTAAGATAGTGAAATTAATATATATGTGTTATGTATATGTATAGAAATAGCGTGGGTCTAGTTTTTTTAGTACGCCTGTACTTAACCTACTTTTTCCATATTGCACGAAAGGTATTGAACGGAATAATTTAATAAATCGATGAAAAGCACTTCGTTTTCAATACACACTTTGTCTTCGCTCGAGGAAAATTGCCGCTGAATTGAGTTTTTTCATTACAAAGTAAAATTCGTGAAAAAATTATAAAAGACAAAAAAATCTGATATATTTATGTTATCAATTCATAAACTTAAAATAATGTCGTCTATAAATTATACTTAAAGAATGTCAAGTAAATTGACTTATTGAAATACAGATGTCACCACTTGCATCAAATTAGTGTCAATTCTTATTTTACAAATTTGCATTTTTCCAACATGATTTTCTTTACGCTACATCTCTTTTCAAGGGAGCGGCGGATATATCCGCCCTATCCTTTATACACTTCCCTTATACAAAATTGTATGCGTGTTTATTTTGACAGCGCAATCACCGAATCATACTTCAAGGTCTAATTTGATTTTTTGATAAGCTACACCTCTGGAATTATAAATTCAAGCAGATATTACGTTATAATTAAAAGGGTTTTCAATTTACGAATTCTCCTTTTAGGAAGTAAACCAAGCAAAATATTATCCAAGCAAATATTACGGTCTAAATAATTGAATTCTCACTTTACGAATTCTTATTTGAGATGAGTTTTCAATTTACGAATTTACATTCTACCCAGATGATTTTCTAATAAGAAAAATACATTTATAAATTCAAAAGTTCATATAAATTGTGTTCTCATTTTACGAAATACTAATCGAAATTTACGAAATCGTATTTCTACCATAAGCTTCATTTGCAAACTAAAGAGAAACTGGTATAATTGCACGTTATGCAAGAACTGTTACTCATATTAGTGCAAAAACTGATCGAAGCAATATGGAAATCCCTGAAATACCGGTATTTCTATATCAATCGAAATTTACAATATTCAAATTGAAACTCTTATAATCAACCACGAATAATTCTACATGAACGGAAACAGGTTGTCTTTCACAGCGCTATAGCAATAAACTCAATCACCTTAATTACCCAGTTTTGACGGCTGGAATTAGTAAACACACAAATTATAACTAAGAAATAATTATTAATTTATTAGTTCCCAGCAGGATTTTACTTTCCATAATTAATTTGAGTCATGCTCGTATTGCACAATAATTACATATTATTTCAAGCAATTTACCTGCACTGTATTATATTTTTTTTTATAAAATTATAATAGGACACAGAGAATGCAACAATAACAAAATTATTTTATAAAAAAAATTCTTTGTAATAATTCAAATTATGTTTTATGCTCGTTGCTTCGCAACCTCGGTTCATATATTCAGGTTTAATTCACTTTGTACAAATTTTTGTTTCGTCGATGATTT